AAAACCAAACGAAGTTGCTACTTCATATTGGATTCCAAGTATTCGAACGTACTTTGAAAGTAATGCGCGTGGATTCGGTTAAAGCCGAGTTTTGGCTTTGAGAAACGTGAGGGGATAAGGATCTCGAAGTATAAATCTGATGAAAATCCAATCCGATCGGGATCATTGGTATAGGATTTTGAACTTCAGGGACATTTCGAAACTTTGATCAGTTATATACCAAGGTGATCCCATATAAAGCGTTAAATGATGCTGTTAACAAAGTTGTTATACAGTCATTTGGATTAGATTTTTACTTTTTCTCTTTTTCGACATTTTTTTTTCTTTTTCTATTTCTTCTTTTCTCTTTTTTAAATTTTAAATTTCGAATCGAACGAAAAAGAAAAAAGATAATTATTTCTTCTTTTGCGTTATCCAACTTTTACATTTATCCTTGCTCTACTTACACGCTTTTATATGCCGTACTATGTTGATTCTATGTACACACACACACACACACATACGTACACATATATATTATATATAAGATAGAAGAAAATTAAAGGAAGCGAACAGAGATAAATAGAAAAGAAAGTAATCGAGTGTGACAAAATGAGAAAAAAAATTAAAGGGAAAAGTATTTCGTTTAAACGAAACTATGAGAACGAATTTCTCAAAGTTTTTACAAACAAAGAAAAGTAAAGTATAATTCGTAAATTTGAATCAGTTGTATATTCTTTTACGACTACTAAAAGATCTTTCCCTTGTACATAATATCTTAGAAATTGTTCTATCGTTATAGTTATGTCGAGTTCGAAAAAATCCTTTGACATTGAATCACTCGATCGCCAAGAGGTTGAAATAATTAAAGTATAGTTTAATCCCTTAGATAGTAAGCAAAAGCTTAACATAGATCTCTGGTTAAGTCGTAAGAGCCATGAGGAAAGCTTTCGACCTTTAAACTTTGTTCCAGTCTCGAGGATAATCCTTCTCGTGGATATATATATATATTCGATCTCTGGACTGTGTCCTCGAATAATGGCCAAAGAGAAAGATAGACACACAGAGAGAGAGAAAGAGAAAATGAGAGAGAGAGAGAGAGAGAGAGAGAGAGAATGAGAGAGAGAGAGAGAGAAAAGACAGGCGTATTCTCTCTCACCCTCTCTCTCTCTCCCTCTCTCTCTCGCATTGTTTTGATCTTACACTATACATAATTTCTATCCAGATAATAAAATATTTTTCTTTTAATTGACACAATGAATAAAATTTTATTTCTTTTCTTTTTTCGCTTTGTTCTTTTTTTTTTTTTCTTTTTATTTTTATTACATATAATATTATACGATATTACTCAATAATCATTGGACGTACTACAAAACTGGATATATTTTTATTTTCCCTTAGAACTTTTGTATATATGTCGCGAAGTATTTTTTTTTTTTTTATTCTTCTTTATTATTTTCCATTCGTGTGTATGTCGGTTTTTTTTTCTTCTTCTTATTACTTTCACTCGCATTTTCCCGTGTTCAGTTTTAACTTTTTGTTAAAACTCAACATTGTAACATTGGTAAGCACTTAAAGAGTCTCGTAATCTCTTTTCCCATTGTTCCCTCACTTATTCCCTCGTGAACCAAACTACTCTTTCCATTTATTTTGCATCGATTTCCTTATTGCAGCTCAATCTGCATTTTTAACTTGGGATAATCTTTTGATAATTAAAAGATTTACTGATTATCATTATTATTATAATTATTATTACTATCATCATCATCACTATTATTATTATTATTATTATTATTATTATTATTATTATCATTATTATTATTATTATTATTATTATTATTATTATTATTATTATTATTATTATTATTATTATTATTATTATTATTATTATTATTATTATTTTACTTATTATCTTTTTTTTTTTATTAGATATGTACAGAATATTTCGTAAAAACAGATAAATCTGTACAATCAATGAATGATCCTTCATCGATGACAATAACGATCGTAACTTATTATTATCTTGACAAATTATTTACCACATGATAAGAATTATTTTTGAATATTTTTCATCGATTTCTTTTAATGAGAATGTCTATACAATTTTTTTTCTAATTATCTTAAATAATTAGCTCGTCGGAGTTACGAAATAAATTGTAAAAATTGAAAAAGTAAAAGAAAAAAAGAAAAAGGAAAAATCAATTACATACCTCGTAAAATTCTATGGTTACAGTCATAATTAGTAATTAAGTTTTATGAAAAGAAACGTGCAAAGATAATTTTTTTTGTTTTTGTTTTTTTTTTTTTTTAATAGTAAAAAACGTTGTTCACGAAGTAACTAAATTAGTGATCCAAATCGCCTGACTAAACTTCTTCGTAAGTTATACTTACTATCTGAAGAAAAAAACAAAGAAAAAAAAAATTAAAACAGAGAGAGAGAGAGAGAGAAAGAGAGAGAGAGAGAGAGAGAGAGAGAGGATAAAAATAAGGGGTTAGTGAAGGAAGAGGAAGGAGGTAAAAAATAGAAAGTAAAGTAGTAAGAATCTTCCTTTCTCGAGGAGTTTAATTCTTGGACTTATCGATGCTCGTAATACTACCAGAAGAAAAGAGGAAAGATGGACTTGTACCGGCAAACAAGGTTTTCATTATCACTGCACCCAGACGGAAATATTCCAATTAATTTTCATTTCTATCTAACGGGATTCCGCAAACCAACGTTGGCCCCAACGTCGGTGGTGGCTTCGTTAATTAAATATGAGAACGAAATTTTATGCTCTTAATTAAGTCGACTTTCTCTTTTATCCCATCTACCTATCTCTCTTTCTCTCTCTCTCTCTCTCTCTCTCTCTCTCTCTCTCTCTCTTTCTCTCTATCTCTCTCTCTATCTCTCTCTATCTGTCTATCTATTCCTATATTACGTAACGAGATAATTCGTTATAACAATCATAATAATAACAATATTTATTACAATCTATAAACTCGTAAAAAGCATTACACTGTAATGCGCGCATTAAATGAAGGGTGAAAGAAAGTATTATATTAATAATAAAAAAAAAAAAAGAAATGAAAAAAAACAAAAAAAAAGAAAAAAGTGAAAAATGAAAAATGAAAAAAATTTTTTCCAAATTGATTAAAGAGAAAAATTGGCACTATTAAAAACTTAAAGTTGAAATCGCCAAGATCGTGGAAACGAACGTTATTATAATATCGGTGATCATTCATTATAACACCGGCTGGTTAGGGTGCAATTATGTTAAGCGCGATTCATTTCGCGAAGTGCGGTAATAATATTGATTCAAATGTACACGTGAAGAGACCTATATACATACGAATCTCCAGTAATCTATGTAGGTATAATTACATACATATGTTCACGTTTCTGTATTTCTGTATTTATATATATATATATATTATAGTTGTAGATGAACGGAGAGGTATACTACGTGCATTGACTGTACAAATACCAATTGGGAAACGTTAATGCATCGATGATAATCTAGAATTGTATAAAACCAACAGAGAATCTGGTACCTTTCCACATGGCTTACGTATGTACATATGTATGTGTATGTGTGCGCGCATATGTATGTGTACATATATATATATATATATATATATGTATAAATACATAGATACGTCCTCTTTCACAAATTGAACAGAATAAATACGAAGAACCGAATTATAGATCCATCTGAAGATTCTTAATAAAAACTCGTTTCTCATTGGTCCATCAAAATTTACTATATTCCTTATCGAATGAATCGATAATGCAATGACGACGTCATCTTCTCAGTCAATCGTTTATATTCCTATGAATTTTACTCGTCTTGTACCTTCAAACTTTTATTCATTTTCAGAGTATACTTCTTCACCTTCATTATTTCGTATTTCATTGAAAAAGGTTTTTTTTTTTTTTTTTTTTTAGTATATATACAATAATTAGAGATAATATTTTTAATAAAATATTATATATATAATAATATGTATAATATAATTTTATTTGAAATCAAATGGGGATATCGAAAATAATTAGTTAATGTCATTTAATTTTTTTGTTCTCTCTCTCTTTTTTTCTTCTTTCATTTTCTTTTTTTTTCTTTTTTCTTCTTTTTTATTTTTAAAAAAGAAAATATGGTAACCAAATTAATAATGATATTTATTATTTAATTTATACACAATAACGAAATATATATATATATATATATTTATGCAACTTGTTAATTAACATTAAAAACATTAAACTAATTAAATTGAATTTTTTCTAGAATATAATAGATCGACGTTACGAAATTATAAATTTGTTTTCTTTGTTAAAATTTCTCGCATGTATGGAAATCGTTGAAAAGTTAGTAAAAAATAACTAAATGATTTGACTTTTATTATTTTATTTACGATACAGTCAGATATTTGAATTTATATTAACGTCAAGTTGTTAGTAATTTATCTCTATTAGATAAGATATAAAATAGAAGATATATATATATATATGTCTGAATATGTACGTACATATACAGACTCGTTACATTAACATAAGAATCTACAATTTTAAAAGATACTAAAAGAAATAAAGAATGCGAAAAGGAGAGAGAGAGAGAGAGAGAAAGAAATGAAAACAATGTTTAACCGCCAAGGTTAAGATGTCGTTAGCGATATGTATTTCTTTCATAAAAATAAAATGGCACAGAATTAACTGTGCACGACAGAATCTACGCGATGAACAATAAACCTTACGAGCCGTAATCACGCTTCTCGGCTAACTTTACAATGCTCGAGGTCAAATCGACGACGCGACCTCGCGTTTCATTTCCTATTTCTTTCGCTTTGTCATACCTCCGTTTCTTTGGTCTCTTTCCTTTCTAGTTTCTTTTTTATTTTTCTCTTTTTTTTCATTTCTTTTTCATTTTATTTCTTTTTTCTTTCTTTTTTTTCTTGATTTCGATCGAAGAAAAAGATTACAACGTTTCACGTATGAATAAACAATAAATGCATTTCTAATCGTCCATATTTTCTTCTCTTTTCAGTGCAACGCTGCCGTGGGTGTCAAAGCTTTTTTCGACATGATGCATAGCGGGCCACATAAGGTTATGCTTTTCGGTGCAGCTTGCACTCAAGTTACGGATCCGATAGCGAAAGCCTCCAAACATTGGCGTCTCACGCAGGTAATACGATTTCAATGTCCATTCTTTCTTTTTTTTTTTTAAACGCCATCGACGAAATAAAATTCAAATTTCACATTGTGATAATATCTATGTAAATATGTAGATAGATACATACATACATACATACATACATACATACATATATATATGTATATATATATATTATATTTTTTTTTAAATTAGATTTACAAAATTATCAATTTTTTTTATTTCTATTTACACTTTAAAATTAATCTTTACGAATAAAGACACCCTATTTATCTTTATTTTCATTAAAAATAATTATTAAAGATATCCATCGAAGAAAAATCTATTCCATTGGATTAGAATATATTAAATAATAATAATAAAAAAAAAAAAAAAACAAGAAAAAAATAGAAATAATACAAAAATTTACATTATCATCATTAAATCAAATTAAATCGAATTATCCTATTAAATCAAATTAAACAGATTGATATATTGTAATTCATCGATTATTATGCATTTAAAGAAGAATAAAGAAAAAAGAAAAAGAAAAGAAAAAAGAAGAAAATATAGAGACATATATACATGTGCGCGCGCGCGCGCGCGTACACACACGCACACATATACACATTATTTTTTTATTATTACTGTATTAAAACTAAAAATTACTCACGTTCTATTACTTCAATGGAATCATTAACATGTATCGTAACTCATATCGTAATTCTTTCCACGTATAATAATAAAGATACATAGACATATCGCACACATAACTACATATGTACATCTATCCACGTCGTCGGTTTTCTGGAGTCTCATTAATCTTCAACGAGCGGTCTTAATCCCGCTCATTCGTCCTTTCGCGCGTTAGATCAACAGAAGGGCTCGACGTTAGTGACATTAGGTGGTACTCTCACGTGGACGCGTCAATGGGCATAGCAGGATGATGAGAATGAGAGGGGTGATTGGGGGGAGGAGGAGAGGGTAAGGACGAACCGCGAGGGAAACCGTCGACGTGCTTTGTGTACATCTCTCTCTCTCTCTCTCTCTCTCTTTCACTCTCTCTCTCTCTCTCTCTCTCTCTCTCTCTTTCACTCTCTCTCTCTCTCTCTCGCTTTACGCTTTGCTGGCAAAGCAAGAGGAAGCTTTCCTGCTGGAGGCAATGATAATGTCAAGAGGGTGCAATGTCCGAGGCCTAATCAACAGATAGCACGTATGCAAATTTATCGTCACGGTCTCCCCTAACTCTGAAATAACTCGTCACACATCATTTTAAGTTGACATTCGTTTACTACACGTACATTCGTTAACACATTATATGCAAATGACACGTAATATTATCCGTATTTTTCTTTTCTTTTATTTTCTTTTTTTTTTATCTTTTCTTTTTTCTGTTTTTCTTCTTCTTTTCTTTTTTCTGTTTTTCTTCTTTTTTTCATTTTTTTTTTTTTCCTAACAATAATCATCGACGCCGAACAACGAAATATTTCTTTTCTTCTACTTTTCTAAACTCAATGCTTATCAAAATTCGTGGCAATTACGAACGCGTTAAATTTGTTTACTTAATTTAGTAATTTAATTTACTAACGCATTTCATGCGTTACAATTATGTAACATCATATTAAATTTGTTTATTGAAGTTGTTTATATATATATATATTCTTTTAATTAAAATTTCTACGTAATAATATTCTGCGTTTCGTAAAAATGAATACGTCTTTATACGTTTTACCATTTACAATTACAGGAAAGGAATCTGTTTTGAATTTATTTGAAATCTATCATCACTCGCTATCGCATTATTTTAATTAAAAGAAAAATGTTTATATAAGAAATTTCGTCCTACGTACTACCATCAGTATATATATATTATTATATATATATATATATATATATATATATATATATATATATAATGAATCTGTGCATAATTGGAAATAGTTAAAAAAAAAATTATACAAAATTGTATCGTTAAATTTTAATGTTATATTAAAATTATATTCAATTCGATCAACAATTTTGAACTATTAATAACGGGAAGGTCAAATAAAAAAGTTTTCATAAAATTTCGAGAAAATTTTCAAACGTTATACGAATTTCAACGGTGTAAAGTCTGCTTCGTAAAAAATCGTACGAAACAGCCCGGCGGCGAGAAGCAAATAAAATGCAATACAGCCTCGAATATAATACGTTGACTTTTTGTAAGAGTGAAACATAGCCAGTGCAAAAAAAGACAAAGCAAATAAGTTGATTGAATGATTCGTTATATGAGTTTAATATTCGTGGCTATAATCGTATTAACTTCGATATTATTCCAAAAAATTTTATTTCGCGCGTGTAAATCATAACTGAAGGAAAAAAAAAGAAAAAAAAAAAAGAAAGGAAAAGAAAAAGAAAAGGAACACCAAAAAAGATTGCGCGAAGAAGTAATTACATTCTTTTTTTCCTTTTATTATTGTTTTTTCTCTCATTTTTCCTATTCTAAACATAAAAATCGTAAATAAAATCGAATTAATCGAACAAAACTTTCCTCTCCGATATCGTTTGATTTTACATTAATGTATTTACGTTTTGTTTCTCGTTATCGTTATTTCTGGTTTTTTTTTTTTTTCCTTTGTCTCGAGATAATGGATCGAATCAAATCTTACTTAAACGATAAAAGACAATTCATGTAAATAAATATATTCATTAAATTGAAACAAACAAGATAAAATTGGTATGATACACACGATCGGCGATATTCGAGGAGAAAAATGATTACAAACGAAATACCGAGTATCAACGATACAGGTAATAAGTATCGTTTTTCCGAGATGAAATCTCTCTCTCTCTCTCTCTCTCTCTCTCTCTCTCTCTCTCTCTCTCTCTCTCTCTCTCTCTACCTCGAGAATGAAACAGTAAAGGGGGAAAGAAATACGTGACGGTGAGGAATTTAAGGATATACATAAACGGAATACCGAATCGACCGGGTGGGCGTGAAAAATCGTATTATCCATCCGTAAGCAACAAATTTCCTCCTTCTTCCTGAGAAAAATGTTTAACTCTCGACATTCGCAATTTACATGCGAATAGGGAAAAACGTCCAACGAGAAATGTGTTGTACGACGACGACGACTACGGCGACGACGTAGAAACGTGGACGACGATGCAATATTCTTCCAGTTGTTAGCTGCAGGCGATAAGACTTCCCGAAATGTGTCAGACCGAAAAGGGGAATCGTTCAGTCGAGAAGGAAGAGGGAAGGAAAGAGGAAAGAACGAGGAAAGAGGTATTATTTCGAAACTTTGCCGAAGTGCTGTACGCCCGTCATTTCTCTCGCGGCCTCTTAACTCTCCTCTCCTACCTTCTCCTCTCCTCTCCTCTCCTATCCTCTACTCACCCCTCCTTACACCACAGTTTTCCATCGACGCGTTTCTCACGGATCGTGCACACCGATATGCACAGGGTGCATACAGTTTTAACGCAACTCGAGATCTTTTCTCTGTGTCGTTTTTTCTTTCTTCTTTTCTTTTTTTTTTCCTCTTTCTCTTCCTCATCCCTTTTTTTTTCTCTTTTTTTTTCACCTTTCGAAAACGTACGAGAGAGGGAGAGAGAAAGAGAAAATTCCTCGTAACGTTTACGACATCACGTATGTTATCCATAAATTTATTGTTCGTCGAAGATCTTTCGTAAATTGGATTTGCGACGATAAACGACGAAATTTTGAGATTTTAGTTTGATAAGACATTCTGCAAATCGATCCTACAACAAAGAAAATATATTTATCCAAGAGAAATTTTCTAATAACTTTTTATATCGTAAACATGTGTACACTTTTTATCGTATCGTTTATACTGTCAATTATTTCTATCAATCTATATTTTTTTTTCTTTTTTTTTTTTTTTTTTTACGTTCACGTAAACTCCAACCGAACTGTCAGTCCTATTGATTTTGTGATCTTTGAACTTTCTTCTTATTTTTCTTATTTCTTTTTTTTTTCTTTTCTTCTTTTTCTTTCTTTTTTTTTTTTAAATAAATATCATCCTCATTTGATCATTATTAGTTCGTTCTTTATATATAAACATATTTACATAGATACAAATATATATATATATATATATATATATATATATATATATATACTATAAATTTCATCAAAACATCGTTAGATTCTAAAAGCGATTGAATATGAGTGAATTATCATGTTTACAAGAAAAAGAAACAACGTAGAGATCTAGTGTAGTAATTTTATTTTTCTTGAAGTTCGTTTATCATAATAAAATCCTAAATGCGCAATATAGAAAATTACGAGGAAATAGATAGCAGTAATAATAAACAAACAAATCAACGATTCCGAATCCTCAATAGTAATTCGATGATCACATGGAGACATGAATCGCGATCCAGATGGTGAATAATGGATCTAACAAGAATGACGACGAGTTCCTCCTACTCTTTCTCTCTCTCTTTCTCTCTCTCTCTCTCTCTCTCTCTTTCTCTTTTTCTACTGTCGGGCCATCGGGAAAACGGTGTTTCATTCGTTTTTCTTTTTCAGACTTATCATCCTCGGTAAAAGCCTCGTAAAGTCACAAAATACCCTAGGGAATGTTATTTCAACTTACGACCGTTTTTCAGATACTTTCTTTTTCTATTTTCTTTATTTTTCTATTTTTTTGTTTTTCTGTTTTTTTTTTTTTTTTTTTTTAACCAAAGAGATAAATCAAGAGAGAATGAGAGAATGAAAGAAAGAGAGAGAGAGAGAGAGAGAGAGAAGCATAAAATAAAAATAGAACATGAGATTCTTCGAATCATTCTCAAGATTTAATCTTTTTCTTCGGACAGCGTGGCGTATTCCCTGTCTGTCTGACCACACAACGATGCTGTACCACTTACTACTCGAACGTAAATACGTGTATCTCCAACACACATGTATATAAAAATACAAGTAATGAAGCATTGAGAATGATGGCCGACAATTTTCCAATTTAACGATGGATCGCGAGAGAGTAAAAGAGAGAGAGAGAGAGAGAGAGAAGAGAGAGAGAGAGAGAGAG